ATCAAGAGCAAGATATTGAAAATATAGATCCATCTTTGATTCAAAATCCTATTATTCATCCTAAAAAAGGTGCCCCTCGCAAAACTCGGTTCAAAGGATCTCAAGAATCAAAATCAAAAAATACAAGTCGAAAACCAACGGAGTGTCAACAATGTCATAGATCTGGTCACAATAAAGCTGGGTGTGAAAAATGGCATAAAAAAAATCAAGTCTCATATTTGTAACATCATCATTATGTGTTATACATAGTATAGTGTCCTTTTTATAGTGGGTATTAATTAAAATGCCGAATTATATCAACAGAAAAGTCATTGTTGCGCTTTTTTGTCAGGTTTTCATGATCATTTCGACTAACTTTCCGCGAAGTCTTCATAATTTTTTTTAATACGCGTTGGATTGACAAAAAAAGTTACGGCCGTTTAGACTGTAAGTTTTTCAGCTAGTGTATCGATTGGTTTGGGTTAGGGTTATGATGATTAGAAAAGAGAGTTCTAACGTGTAGAATGTGCTAAACTTTCATGTTTAATTGTTAACTTTGAGGATACCATTGCTACAATTACAGAGAATTTACATTTTTTTGTGTTCTGATTCCTAGTGTCTCACCACCCTCCGTTGATTTGAAATACTACTCGACGCTTTCACCACCACTCCGTTGATTTCAAATACTACTCAACGCTTTCATTACCACTCTGTTGATTTCAAATATTACTCGACGCTTTCACTACCACTCCGTTGCTTTCAAATATTACTCAACGCTTTCATCACCCTCCGTTGATTTCAAATACTACTCAACGCTTTCACCACCACTCTGTTGATTTCAAATACTACTCAATGCTTTCACCACTCTCCGTTCACCACTCTCCATATCACTCTCCGTTCACCACTCTCCATACCACTCTCCGTTCACCACTCTCCGTTGATTTCAAATACTACTCAACGCTTTCACCACCACTCCGTTGATTTCAAATACTACTCAACGCTTTCACCACCACTCCGTTGATTTCAAATACTATAAAAGCATCTGAAGGTTAAAACTTAGCAGAGGCACCCAAGAAAGCAAAAGATGCCGGAGCTATACTCGCCTATGGTGACTTCACCATTATCGTCCAAGCGGACTTGTATTGCAATGAAAAAAGTGGCGAAAGTTGTTGGGATCACTGTCTGGAACAAGCCTTCCAAGCACGGTTAGTTGAGAAAAGTAAAGAGTCGTGAATCAAGAAAATTAAAATTTAACCGAATAGTAAACAAAATTGCCATTGTATAGAGAAGAGATAGAAAATGCAAATCATTTATAGCGATCAATTACCTGAAGTAATTAGTCTTCGATGTCGGGCTTCGGGAAGAATTAATTTGCTTGACAAGGCTTACGCATTGTTTTATGAAGCAGGATGAAAAAATTGCATGGCTAATTGAAAAAGCAGGATGTGATATGATTTTATTGAGATAGAAAGCTCTTAATTCTCTTCTTTTCAATCCTTTTTCAATAGTTTTTTAGAGATAAAGGAAACTGAATGTTCATTAAAAGTCATCTTTTTTCTAGGATATTGAACCAGAAATTATGATTATTATGTTTTTTTTCAATCATGATATTGATATCATTTTTGCTGATATCAAATTGTAATAATATAATATAATCTAATTTATTTATCATGTGATATTTATATAATGGCTACAGTAAAGCTGTGGCTATATATAATTTTTTCCTTTTTTTATTTAATTAAATTAATTTTAATAATTATATTTAGTTTATTTAACAATTTCTTTTTGTATTTGATCAAATTTTATTAAATAATTTTTATAATATAATTATAATAATATTAATATATTTATGAAAATAAAAATTTTTTTATTTAATTAAATAATTTTAATAATTATATTTAGTTTATTTAACAATTTCTTTTTGTATTTGATCAAATTTTATTAAGTTTTCTTTTTAATCTAAATAATAAATTATATAATCAAAATTTTTGCAATTTTCACATTGTTTTTTTATTTTATTTTTATCAGAATTAAATAACAAATATTATAATAATTCATAAATATCAATTATATATTTAAATATTTCTGTTCTATACTTTAACTCTTTAAATTTTTTCACTATTTAATAAATAAAAAATAAGCTTTATTAGAATTAAAACTAAAAATTATCTCAATTACTATAATTTATTTATAATAATTAATAAATTTATCTTAATAATATTCATATAAGAAAGTATTTTTACAATAGCTAGTTAATTATAAAATATTATAATAGCAAAATTACAACAAAACTTATCATGATAAAACTAACTACAGCAAGATTTATGATGAAATTAACTATAGCAAAATCTATTATAACAAAACTTAAATATAAAACTTGATTATAACTAAATTTAATCACAATAAAACTTGATCACAATTATGGTGAACTTAACCTTAACTTTAATAACTTTAATTATTCTAAAACTTTAATCATACAGAAACTTTAATTAAGATGAAAATGCAAATTTTTTTTATACTGATATATAGAATTTTGTTTGATCAATTAATAAAATAAAACTTTAGTCATGTTGTTTGAAGTAATTTTATTAGTCAATAATATTTCACAAAAATTATAAAAATAATTTATAAATTAGCCAATTATAACAAAAATCTACTATACTTAATAGAAACTGTTACAATTAGAAATTTCTATAATTTTATAATTCTATAATATTATAATTTTATAATTTTATAATTTTATCAAAATTATTAAAAATATCAAAAATATTCAATATATCCAATATATCTAATATATTCAATATATTCAATATATTATATTTATTATTATTTTGTAATATTAATTAGTGAAAAATATTTATTATAAATAAAACATAATTGAAGTTTTGAAAAAAGAATTAATTAATTATTACAAAAATCTAACTAGTCAATAAATTGTTTATTATTTATTGTTAATGAAATTTGTATATTAATTGATTAAATAATTAAATAATTAAAAAACAAATCTTATACTAAAATACTTATATTAATTTTGCACTATTGAATATCAACAGTATAATAGATGAATGTGACAGAATTGTTGGTGAAAATAGTATATTTAGTTCTTTCGAATGGATCCCTTTTGAAATATTTACCTAAGTTGGATATCTTGTAAAAGGTGGTTTTGGAACAATTTATAAAGCAACTTGGTTGAACGGACCATTCGATGGAAAGTACCCTGAATGGAATCATGAAGAAAATAAATTTGTGCGAAAGGGAAAAACTGACGTTGTGTTGAAACCATTACACAATTCAAAGCAAATTACATCCGAATTTATAAACGAGCACCTTTTAAGTTTAAGCATATTGCTTTTGTGTTTTTCAATCTAATTAGCTTTTTCAAAATTGGATTCAGACTGCTCTAAAATGCACTCGTGGCTCTATTTATTATATTAGTTATTATGGGATAACTAAAAATCCAGCTACAAATGAATAGTGATCTATGAATTTCTACTACGAAGAATTGGAACAAAAATTAAGTCATTTATTTGAGATCATTATTGGGTTGTGGCTAATTCACAGTGAGGAATTTATGCATCGTGACTTTCAACCCGGAAATATATTATTAGGGAAGTGCCATTTATCAGGTGGGTGAGTGGGTCAGTCAAATTATCAGGTTCATCTTTGATCAACATAATTATATATTCAGGTGTGGGTGTGTGTGAGTAATGCTCTATATTGAAAAAAATCACCTGATAAAGCACTTCCCTTATTATACATAATGCTCAAATCGCTGATTTTGGACTTACCAGTCCAGCAGATATAGAAAAAAATTTGCGGAGTACATGTACTTCCTTATATGAGTCCAGAGGTTCTAAATGGCAAACCATACACTAAAGCTGCAGATATTTATGGGATGATTATGTACGAGGTTTCCACAGGCAAACGACCATTTGGTGAGCAGAGTCATGATATCGATCTTGTATTAGACATCTGTGACGGGTACGACCTGATACCAAATATTGTTCCTAAATCTTTCAAGTTTATTATTGAAAAACGTTGGGATCCTATTCCAGAAAACAGACCAACTGCGCGGGAACTTCTAGCCTTTATCGAATCTATCAACGCTATCAACTCAATTAACGATATCGGTATCAAATATATCAACTTTATCTACTCAATCGACGATATCAGTGAGGAGTGGAAACCGAATAATTTGCATTTTCAGTATTACAGCCCTAAAACACATAAAGAAATTGAAGAATGTCTCAAACTAGAAAAGCAGAACTTGACGAGGGGATGAAATTAAAAAAGAGCATTCCTACGAATACGAAAGAAAAACAAATATACTCGAACCAATCGAGTCTTTACCACAAAAGTAATTTCAATTCCAACTGACACAGGTATTTTTTTATTTCTAAATATAAATCATATCGATATTATCATTTCACGTTAATTAAAATTTATATCGAATGTTTAGGGTTGACAAGTGTCTGTTTGTTGGTTCCAAGCGAGCTCGATTTTATTATGCCACATGAAATCAAAGAGAACGAAGAGATGTCGAGTGACTTGCAAGAACAACTACAGATTCAAGATAAAAAAACTTACAACAAAATAGGACAATTTCAAAAAAGAAATGGTAACCACTTTTATTGGCATCCTTAAGTGTCCTGCACTGCAGCTTATTTTCGGAGATACTTATTTTGCTAATTGTAATTGAAAACCGATTATTAATAAGCTTTTGCATTGGACTAAGAATACAAATTCAAAAAAATAATTCAACAAACTACATAAGAAATAGAAATTCTTAAATAAATTTAATTATTATAGCTAGTTGTATGTCTATACTATATAGAAAATGTAAAGCTTTTTACTTCGGTGGCAGTAAAAAATATTTGATAAAATAATTATTATCTGAAAAATACCTGTAGAAATTGTAAAAATAATACTATTTACGTACTATGATCTGATTTTAATATTTAATATTGCAATATTTATTGAAAATGTATTTAAGAATTTAAAATAGTAAATTCAATAAAAGGTTAAATTAATATTTTTGCATTAAGTGTGAAGAAATGTGAATTTTTTACGGTAGTTGAATGCAAGAAATGGTTTTGGATTAAAATAAATTAATAAAACTCACGCAATAAAAAAAATGAATTAAATCAAAGATTATCATATATTTTTTCGAAAGTTCCCACTCCTCCTTGATATAGTCTTGGTAGACAGAGTAGAGAAATTCGTGAAGCCCCTTAACAGTTGGTCTGTTTTAGGAATTTTTCAATCACTACGTATCCAGGAAATCATTTGGTAAGTTTGGTCGTACTCCATTATAAATGTCTAGTTGCCATGACTTCGCTCACCAAATGGTCATTTACCTGTTACATAAGCCTAAAACTATAAACACCTGCAGCTCTGATGTATTACTTTCCATTTAGTACCTATACTTTCGCTTCAATTCGCAGTTGGAATTAATATATTTATTTGTAGCTGTGTTTAAAGTCAATTCAGTAGATTTTAAAGTAGTCAGAATCTATTTTTGAAAAACTTGTTTCTATTAGGAACCAAAAAGTATCATGAATTCCAATGTGATTGTGTAATAATTTCAACGCAACGTCGCATTTATATTTATTAGATCATTTTCTCCATGATCCCCCTTTTTTCATGGATGTAATGCTTTATAAATTGTTCCAAAATCAAGAGTGATCTATTCAAAAGACCCACTACTTATTTTCTCGCATTCTTTTTTATAAGACAGTCAATATTTTTATTTTGCTAGAGCATTCAGCTTTATAAATTCGTTTGTGCTATTCAAGGCGGAACAATCATGAGTATTGCAATCCGGGTATTTGAAACTTTTACATAATGGTTTTATGATTATGTGCAGTGTTGTGCGTGTTATTTATCGAGATTGATATTTAAATTGATTTATGTTAAAAAAAGAGCGTGTAAATCAATTTTATTAAGCTAGCTTTATTGTCCGATGCCGTAAAAGTGCAGTAATATTGACAGACAGAGTTAACGTTAATGACTTCTATTTGTGTGTGTAAACAATAAAATGCTTTTATCTAACACGAAGACAAGCAAATCGATTTAGATCATTTCACTAAATCATAGAATTTATTCGTATATAATCTATTTGTGAATCAATTCTGTGTTAAACTGCTTTTATGCATTTGATATATTAAAAGAGACTTTATTATTCAAAATTTTTTTCAACGGGCAATAACATTAATATTAACAAACGCAGGTAAGTGTTAATTAAATAATGTAAACTCAGAATTTCTAGACTAACGTGTTGTTATATATTAATTTATCCGGACCTATTTATCCGACATGATGTTTCTCCGAATGGAGATTTCCCTGACAAGACGTTTCCCCAACACGATGAGATCTTGTGATATAATGTATCAACTGGTTGGCTTTGCATGGAA